GTCAGGTGAGAGCAAACTCTCATGGTTGTTAATGGTGTGTATTGGTGAAGGAGTAGAAAAGAATGGATATTTGCCCTCAGTCCATGAAAAGGTCATCCATCAGTGCCACTGAAGCAATTTTAAACCTTTCTCGTACATAGATGAGATTATTGTGGTTTACAGAGCAACACTGGTTGGAGGGACAGGGCACTTACACAACTTTGAAGAGATCTATGAAAAATAACTAAGAGAAGAAAACAGTTGACAGGAAACAGAGGTTTGTTATTTGAATAGACAGCTGAGTGTTGCCTGTTGAGAATTTCTAATCTTGATTGTTAGCTTAAATAAGATAAGGTTGTAATTGGGCCTCTGTCTGACTTGTATCTGAGGTTGTTAAAAAATAGATTTGACAACATGTCATAACCTTAGGACTGGTATATTTGGGTTAAATGTATGAATTACTTATTTAAATCATTAAATAAGTGGTATTTTGAATGAGTGAAGGCATATCCCAGTAATCTCCGAAGAGTGTTAGAGCTTTAGAAGTGTAAAATTCTTAATTGTTATGTGTCATGAAAAGAAAGGTTGTATTTTGAATTACCATCAAAAGGGTTCATCCAGAATTCAGCATTAGAGGATCAATCTTATTTGTGTCTATGAAGAGGAGTAGATTCACATTTAACCATCCTGGATATGAAGTCTGCAACTGAATCCCTTGCAAAGTGTAAAAGGGGAGGCGATAATTTTTCTGTTATGTCTGCCGAATGGCATTACTATAGTGAAGTGTTACCGTTCTATTAAAATAAAGCTTAGCAACCATGCATATTATTATTTAGGCTTCTTACCTTTACACAGAGACTTACAAAAAGCCCGTTTCAGTTTGCTAGGCCAAGCAGTTCTAGAAGTTTTTAGGCAATCATCCAGTTACACTCAGTTCTTGAAAGAGTTTAATCTGGGACTTAAGGCAGTCATCAGGTTTGCAGGAAAGCAGTAACACAGGAGACTTCATCACTAATGGTACTGTGACTGCTGCTTTGGAATGATGGCAAGTTGAATGAAAGAATAGAGATATGTCTTTAATACAGCTCCCCTCATCCAGCTACTGCTTCTAACACTTCCTCAGCTTCCAACCATGTCTATTTTCAGGATGGATGTTCTTCAAACCATGATTGACTCATTATTTCAGCAGAAATCGGGGTATCTATGGCTATTCAGGTGCAATATTTTTTTGCACAAAAGTTCCATAGTATTTATTTAATTTGTAAATCTGAAAGTACTCACAGTTTTAATATGCAGATATTTCCAAAGATGAAGGCCACAACTGTCTCCGGGAATACTGTTCATAAGAAGACAGGTAGGAGACAACCATTTGGAAATCCAGCTAATTTTTTTTAGCTATGTCAAACTTGTGGTTCCTGTAATGTTTTGTTTCTCATATCACAGTGAATCATTTAATTTGATAGAGCATCTCTACTATTTTTTAGTATAAGGTAGCTTATGAGTTCCAAGGTACTACCTTCTGGTGGGCATGTAAAGAGAACATCCTTGTGAATTTCTCAAGTCAGAAGCATATTTACATAGAATAACTGGGATCAGACTATACTCTGAACTGTCACAAATTTGTTAAAGGAATTGGACAAAATGTAGATACATTCTGAGTGCATCTACAGCCTCAGAGAGAGGTGGGGGAGTGAATAATGGTTTTGAAAAGAATCTGAAAACAACAAACTTGCATACCTGATCTCTAATACAGACAGAAAACTCTTCTGTGGCTTGCTATATATTCTTTTTATTACAAAAACTGTTACAAAGACTGAAGCAAAAGGATCCTGATCTAATATTTTGGCATAGTCCTAGATCCCCATCATAAAAAGAAATTCTACAGTCTATGGAATGAAGTGGATGAAGCTTGGATACTGATTCCTTGAAGGATATAAAGTATATTTCAGTGGATATTGTAGAAGTTCCAAAGGTCATCTGTTCCTCTTGGGTCTCATGACTTAAAAAGTAGATGTGTGCAAACTTGCATGTATTTGACTGTAAAAGAGAAGATATGAAGACATCTGTTTTCAGAGGTTAATTACTCTCTCATCACCTCTCTGATTCGTACTCTCATATAGTTGAAAGTGAGTTCAAGATTTTATAAAGCCCTTGAAGCCCAGTGGTATATTTCAGCTTTCAGATTTCTTTGGCTATCATGGCAGCTTAAAGAGTTTTTGTGCTCATTCAGTGGAGTTTTTTCATTATGTTTGATGAAGATAGTGTTACTATGTATTCATCCTACCTTTTATGCCTTACTTCAACCTGGTATTTTCATAAACTTGGGACAGCTTTTTTGTCCTAGATCCAAAATTCTTATAGAGGCAAAACATTAATGATCAAGTCTAGTTTTGAGGCTCACCTTCAAGTGCACTGAAAGTAAGAAGAAATCTGAGTGATCTTTAACTCTGTCTGCAATCACCTTGCCATCTAGGAAAATAAGGCTTTGAAGGTGTCCCTTTCTTCTCAGATAAGATGTCAAGTTACTAAAACACCAGTATTCTGTTGTCAAGAGAAATGAAGAAGGTGCATTAGAAGAGCTGTGTATTTAGAACGAATATATATGCCAAGCTGTGATGTGATCACCTACTTGTGTGTTCTTACAATTTGACATTTTGGATGATGAAGAACAGCAGCATATTGAGCCTGGTCAGTTACAGAAGTCTAAGCAAGAAAATTGGTCCTACTTGAATTGTTTTGGTTGTTTAATCTTGAAGCCTTCAGCATGAGGGCTCTGAAAGATGAGTTTTGGTTGATCCAACCATGGCTGTTTAAAGCATATCAGCTCATGGCCATCTGCTCCTGTAGTAGGCATAAGAGAGGGAAACATTTTCTCGCTCTTAACTGACTCATTCAGCCCGGTAGGTTAATGCAAACCACCTCCACTAGTGCCATAAGGTGATGCACTGGACAAGGAAATGCACTTAGAAATATGAATGCTTGTTCCCTTCTGCCACAGGTGGTACCCTCAGTTAAGGGAATGGGACAGATAATGAATAACAGTAATATCTTAAAGACTTCTGTTAGATCCACTGTCAGCTTTACAGGACTTTTTCAGTGTGGCTGGCATTTCTGGCTGGCATTTCTGGTCAATAACAAAGCTGACCAGCCTTCTCCTAGGAACACAAGTTTCTCAATTTATATTTCAAAATTTAAAGAGTTTTAACTGAGAAATAAGGTAATGATGCATGTGGATGTATGTACATTTGTTTTAATTAGTAGTGTGGGGAATAAATCTGTGTAACTCCCCATACGAATCCAACAGTAGCTGTAGTACAGAAGAATCTCCATGCTAAAAAGTTGCACCTTTGATTTGGCAAATTTATTTTGCTTCAAGTGTCTATGATAAAGTTGGCAGTCATTCCTACAGGTTTTGTTTGAAATATACAAAGTCCTTTATTTGCAGTTGACAAGATTCTGCATGAAGTTTTATTGTATTTGTCTTTACTGTCTTCCAGCCATCAAATATTGTAGAAAATTTTTAGGTTCTAGGAAGTTAGAGGTATCCAAATAAATTTGAGGATGAAAAAAAGGAAAAAAAGGGAAAAAAGCCTATTCATGTCACTGGAGCTTACTTAGAATTATTCTAAGTAAGAATCTTCTAAAAATTTAGAAGAAATTAGAAGTTCATATGTTATAATTCTGGTTTACAATTTCAGTGGAGTACGTGGGTTTTTTTAATTGGCATTTATTTCCCTATTTCTTAATTGCGTCCTCCTTGCCATTCATTTTCCTACTCTGAAAAAGAGAACTGGCTCATTGCATCTGGTGATAAGGCACCACAAATCTAGGCACAAAATATGTTGTTTTTCGTGTGTTGTATTTGTGGTCTAGGCATTTTGACAATAGATCTACGTTTAATCATTCCTTAGCCTTAAAATAATATTCCCTGATTACCGAAGTAGTAGTATTTTTGGACAAATTACAGAGTGATTGTTGATAAATGAGAATATAAGCCTTTGTGCAGGTAGGGCTTTTAGTTTTGATAGCAGAAATTAATTTTAGTTTAGAGTTCCATGTCGGTTGAGTAGAATACCCTCTTTTGGATACTTCCACGTGCTTCTCCTTTCCATGAATTCTACCAAATTACAGTGTGTGTTATTGGCTCACTTTATTTTTCTGTGTTCTGCTCCTAACGATTTCTTAGTGTAAACTGAAAGGCTTGTTGCAGAGTCAGACTTTTGACAGAAAATTATCACTGAACTTTTTACTTCATCTATGAAAAGCGTTATGATTTCAAAGAGAAAACACGCAACTTTTTCAGTGTGTAGTGGCCCCCCACCTAATTTGTATGTGCTCAGCTATAGACTCCAACCCTTGATATACTGCTTTGCTTCAGAGAGAAGCATGGAGTGGTGGAGTTACTTCATCAGTTTTGTTCACTGTTTGTGTGTTCCCTGGCTAAAATATGTGTGAAGTCCAACTGATGCACTGAACCAAGGAGGGAAAGCCTGTGTCTTAATCATTGCAGATCCTTGCTTAGTATATATATGATGAAGCATGTTGCATCTGCAGAAGATAATATGTTATAGTAGTATTCCTGAAAAAGTAGTTTTGGAGGTGTATGCTTACTTTGTCTTTTCAAACTTTTGTTTCAGTGTAATTGAGTAGTTTGTTTTTTTTTTTTCAGTGGTTGTTGTTGTGGGTTTTTTTGGGGTCTTTATGTGTTGCAGCTGTTTTATTAGATGGTTCTTTTGGGAATTACACAAGGTCTTTGACTTTCTATGTTTTGAGGGTAGGTTTTTTTAATGATTAATTGGCATCTGTGGTAGACTGACAATGAATGATAGTCTGAATATATATTAAAACGTATTAGCTAGAGAAGTCCCATTCTTGCTTTTAAATTCTGTGGATTTTGGTGTGTGTGCATATACATACTGAGGAGGATTCATTGGTGGGAGTGGAGGGGCATAGACATTCTTGCCTGGACATTGTCAGTCTTTACATGTAATTTGTGATTTTTTTTCTCTTTTAACTTGCAGATAAGCCTCTGAAGAAGCGAAAACAAGAAAACAAACCACCAGAGGCTGGAGGTGCTACTGGAGGAAACAGAGCAGCTTCTCAGGAGACAGGTTCTGCAGGAAATGGGGCAAGGCCTGCCTTGATGGTTAGTATTGATCTACAGCAAGCAGGAAGAGCAGACTCTCAGGCAACAGTAACTCAGGATTTGGACGCCATCAAAAAACCTGAAGAAATTAAGCAGTATAATGATGGGTTTGTGTCTGTTCCCCAAGAAGACCCTGTTGGAGTTCTTAAATTTAAACCTGAAAACCATCCAGAAATTTTTAGGAAAAAATCAGATTTTGAAGGTCAAAAGGCAGATATCCAGCAAAATGAAAACAGACAAATGGAATTTCAGCAAAATGAGGGCAGACGGTTGGAAAGTAAACACAACGAGAGCAAACAGTTAGAAGTGAAACATGAAAGTAAGCATGAAAGCAGACAAATGGAAGTGAAACAAAATGAGAACAGACAGACAGAAGCAAAACAAAATGAGAGCAGACAAATGGAGATGAAACAAAATGAGGGAAAACAAAATAATGGCAAACAGGAGATTCGACAGAGGCCAGAGACACCAAAACAGAAGAGTGAATGCAGACCTGAAACACCGAAACAGAAGAGTGAGGGGAGGCCCGAAACACCAAAACACAGACATGATAATAGGAGAGACTCCAATAAACCACTGTCAGACAAGAAAATTGAAATATCTAGGCACAAACTAGATATGAAGTCTGATCCTTCAAGGGTAAAACCTGAAAGTAGATCTGATCCAACAAAACAAAGGCCTGACGGACGTTCGGTTTCTGATACACCAAGGCGTGACCATGATAGCCTTAAACAAAGATCTGAGGACAGGGGTGACTCAGAGAGATACAGAGGAGATCCATCCAAGATTAGAAGGCCTGAATATTTGAGATCCTCAAATAAAAATGAACATGATTCTAAACATGGTATTAAATCTGATGGTTCAAAACCTGAGAAATTTGAAAGGAAATATAGACATGAATCTGGTGAATCAAGGGAAAGGTTTGCTTCTGGGGATCAGAAATCAAGACCTGACAGCCCTCGTATTAAACAGGAAGGTAAAGGAGATTCTAGTAAATCAAGACCTGATAAACCTGGTTTTAAGTCACCCAACAGCAAGGATGAACGAAGGACAGATGGCAATAAGAGTAAAGTAGATAGTAATAAAGCACATGGTGACAATAAAGCAGAGTTTCCCAGTTATTTGTTAGGGGGAAGATCCGGTGCACTGAAACATTTTGTCATTCCAAAAATCAAGCGTGACAAAGATGGCAATGTTACTCAGGAGTCAAGGAAAACTGAATTTAGAGGTGAACAGAAGGACAAAGTAGAGAAGATTGGGCTAGTTGAAGATCTAAATAAAGGAGCTAAACCTGTAGTTGTCCTTCAAAAACTTTCTTTGGATGATGTGCAGAAATTTATTAAGGACAGAGAAGATAAATCAAGGGGCTCTTGTTTTAAACCTAACAAGAACAAGTCATCCAAATCGAATAAAGGTAAGAATTCTTTAATATTAATTGCATTATATCTTTTTCACTTGTGTTCTTGTAGATTTTCTACTTCTCTTATTAGAAATTAAATGCAAGCATTTAATAGTTAGTTTATATGCTTGCTTATATGGCGATTTTGGGGAATAAAGTAAAACTAATCTAAGGACTTGTCATTGGAAATCTTGCTACACATCTACCTGAAATGATTTGTTTACTTCAAAGTTCCTAACGTGGCAACACTTAAATGGTCTTAAGCTGTATTTCAGCTGCAATAATTTAACCTTGTAATTTATCCACTGAAATGTAACTGCTCTGTGTTCAATTTTAACCGGCTTAAGTGTGTCTGTATGAGGGACTGGCACTGTTCTAACTAAACAGTGTAGCTGGAGTGGTGGGAAATACTGTATATGCAAGCCCTAAGATTCTTTCATGTTTTTGGTTTGAAGTGAAATGGGTGTTTCCAAGGCATGTTTTGATGTGATGCCATAAGAACATAGTTGCAAAGTCCCATTTGCCTTTAACCTTTAAATACAAATTCACTGAGGAGTTTCTATACTTGGGACCACTGAGAGTAAACTTACAAAAACATTCTGTGTGTAAGAAAATTCAGGCATCGTTGTCTCTAGGATCCACTATATGCAGAAAGAAGAAAGCCAAACAATTGGCTGGCATTTGCAAATTAATAATATGGATAGGAAATAATTCAGAGTACTTTGTAGGTTTGATATTTGGCTGATTGTCTCTTCTGCAAATTTAACACTTTTAAAATAAGATCGCTTTTCTTCTTGGTACTTTAATTTTGGCTTCTTTTGTTTCAGACTGAAATAGATCACATTGTGAAATAAATGTTGCTAACTGGTCAGGTTTCCTTTTTTTAAATTTTTAACATTTAAAGAATTTATATTTTTCATATAGTTATTTTTGTAGAGTTGTCGTGTCTCAAAATAGACAAACCAAATACTAGATGAGAAATTTAAAGCTGAATTCGGGATGATTTATGAATGCATTTCCAGGTATATCATGAATTCAAGATTAAAACATTTTCTTACATAGCTGATCTGGTAAGAAATGATGTAGAAATCATCTTTGTGAATCTATAACGATTTCGTGTGCACCTATACAGAGGTGTTGTCTGTATAATGCATTTATTGTGCTATGCCTGTTTTCTATCTACTAATCTGTTTATATTAACTTTTAATGACTTGATAATTCATTACATGTATTACTTATTTGTAAAATATTAGCCTCCTTGTTAGGGATTTCTCTTTATCCTGGAAATACAAATATTATCTCTGTCCCTTTTTGAGGTTCAAATTTCCATTTCTGATAATAGGGATCTGGAGTTGGTCATAAAATTATGACATCTTTGTTGTCAGTTTAATCAGAGGATTCCAGATGAAACCTTTTTGTGTTCTTGATAGAGAATGCTAAAAACTTTCTGATGGAACTCAGCTCTAGTCTCAATAGGATAGACTTTGAATTCACACAATTCTATGTGCAGAAAATCAGTGGCTTTCGGAAATGTTTCTGAATTACTTTTTTTTCAGTAGTCTGTATTATATGTATTATATATAGAGAGAATGTTTTAGTGATGTGTAAAGGTTTTAATGACTTCTTGTGTAATTCTAGCAGCTATCACTCATGACCAATGCATTAATTTTAAAGTCAGGTTTATAACTTCTCTGCAATGTTTTTCTGCATTTTATTTTGCTTTCCGAAGTCATCTATTTCTTGCAGTGTCAAATAACTTAGGACATATTTTCCAGGGGAAAAGTTGTTTGAATCTGATGTGTCTTTTTGCTGTTGTATTCAGAATAAGGTTCTTACAATGATACTAGAAACAAGTTTCATGGAAAGGATAATAGTGTAACTGGTTTTATCTTACAAATCAACTTCTTCTGAGTGTTCAGCGGGCAGATTTTGGAGAAAGTGTCTTTGAACTGCAGATTTTTCATGTGTATGTTCAGTTCTGTATTTTAACTTCCTAGTAACTCACTTTTCTAGGATATGTTATGCTAAATAACCAAGTGAACTCCAGTTTTTGAAAAGGTACATAATTTATAAAGATATCTCTTCATAAGCCAAAGTCTTTTTGTCAACAGCTGACTGATACAGAAATATTAATGCCATTGCCACAATGTCCTTACTCCGATTGAGAGAAATCGTGGTCACAGTTCTAGTCAGTGCCGTTTTTACTTATAAACTTTTTAATACACTAGGAAATGTAATTTTCATAAACCTTCTTTTAGTTCATCCTGTATTACTTACTAGATTGTAGCAATTCTTTTCTAGTGTTGCCTTTTAGCATCATTATTCCACTTCTCACATGCCTCTTATTCCATGTAGCTTAGTATATTTTACTTTATCTTATTTCACTTCCCTTGTGTTTCTTGTCCTTTCTTTTTTGCTTTCTCATCCATCCCTTCCCCAAGAAAACGTCTTCTCATGACTTTGTCATGTACAACATCATTGCTGTGATTTATCTGAAATCCAGTTTAATGTAGGATTGTTCAGCTAGTTCAAAACACCATTTAGAGAGTCGTTCTGTCTTAAGGGAGTAATTCTCATACATTATAAAACTCAGTAAAATTGTCTTGTTTTAAGATACAATTAATTCTTTGCAAACTGAAAGTCTATACAACTTTTTGCATTGTTTCAGTAAATTTTAGATTTGAAAATCATACCTTTATTTGTACATGGGGATAAGCCTTGCATTGTACTCCAAAAAGACAAAGTAGCACTCTCACCAAATTTTATAGAGATGTTTGAAATTTTGTCAAGTTACGAATGGGAGGGATAGCCATAGTATGTGATTGTTAATATTGAATCAACCCCACAATCCTTTTTGTCATTTAAAAGGAAGAAGTGACCTTTTTCTCTCTTTTTCTCCTGACTTTTGAGCATTTTTCTGAAAGATTCACTCTATCTCAGAGGAAAGTTATGGAAATTTTTTCATAGTATTTTTGTTAAGGGGTCTTATGGTGAAGTCTTGTGGCCTGTTTTGTCCAGGTCGGAATGAACATTTTTTCGTCTGATTTAACATCTGTGAATGCCTTTTATCTTGGTTTTAATGCAAATATGTGTTGTTGTGGGATCCATGAAACTTTTCCCTTCGACTTTTTGCCTGCAATGAGGAGGTCATGTTTGCTATCCTTTCTTTTCAGAGCTTCAGCGAATACCTTCTCTGCTGCTTTTTAGAGCTGTGCTGATCAGCTGTGTTGGGATGGGAGCTGGTAACAGTTTCACGGTTACTGCATTCTGAACAAGACAAATTTTCCTTTGTTAAAGTATGGAACACATATGAGTAATGAGAGAAACTGTAACTGTGTAAGGAGATGTCTGAGCAGGTTTATAATATATTTGAAGGATTGTCTTTCCAAAAGAAGCACCTTTTGAGTCTTCCAGTATTACCTCAAAAAAGTGTTCAGCTTTTTAAGAAAAAAACAAAGAAATTCTGATCTGAATGTTACTCCTCCATTGTGTAGATTGTTACAGGATTTCGTTATCTGTACAACATAGAACTGAAAACGTAGGATTTTATTGCTCACTGCAAGTCTTCCTAAATATACTGTGTTCTCTGCTGCTGTGATCTGAAATTTAAGTGAAGATTTACCATTTCTTCAAAGGTGCTCTTCATACGTACTCTTTACAGGATCAGCTAAAAATTTTACTGAATAATTGTCTTCATGTCATTAAAACTATGCTTATGGATTTTTCCTGTATTCTGTGCCTATGTGGTTTGTTGGTTTGGGGGTTGTTTGTTTGGTTGGTTTTAATTCCAAGTAACTTTTTCAGAACATATAGTAACTATAATTTAACATTTGTATAATATGATGGTCCACCTTGGAGTTCTGGCAGGAAATAGTCTCACTTGTGAAACACAGCAATCAATTAGATGACTGTCTTTTAGTAGTAATTACAAGAGTCTTTCAGGATGAAAAGCTGTACTGAGGTTGTGTGGGCTTGTTTGAGTGAACTTGTGATACCTTTCATGGACTTGTAGTTAGCAGAGCAGAACTACTTAAGAATACTTTATAGGACAGATGAAAACTGGGAGCAGAAAGGGAGTATCGCTTTTAAAGATTGTTTAAATCCTCCATGTATAGGATTTCTATAAGGACAAAATTGGCTTATGGATGTTAACACATTAAATTTTAGGGTTCACTCAAATTCATTTCCAAAATAACAGTTTCTTAATGCTGAAACAGAAACACTGAAATCAGTGGGGCTGCAGGGAATTAACTGGAGTAAAAACATATTTCCATTGGGAAGGAGAAGACTGGAACTCAGTTTTTTTACCACAGGTTATGGTTTTGTAAAGATTAGAATTGTGAAAATACACAATTCCATGAATCTGAATTTGAAATCACTTTTTTGGAGTTCCTGGTAGCAATTGCATTTGCATGTGTCAAGGCCAGGCTAATACCTGCTGACCATCTTGCATGTGCATGCACCACCATGTGGATCAAGCAGGCAATAACTTTCTCTGAAGTTCTGCAGAAAAATATACTATGTTTCAGAAGAAAAAATAATGTATTTCAACCTCTACAGCAGGATGTTTATTATGATTCTTCTCAGCTCAAATCTTTAAACCTTCTTCAAATTCAAATTAAATTGTAATTGTAGAAAAGCAACTATGACTTTTGTAAGAATTCTAGAGTCTTCCTGTTTTTTTCTCTTTTCTGAGATATTAGGGACTACCTCCTCTCGTCTTAACTAGTCTAGAAGAGGAACTGACTGATCTGTTTCCCATTAGAAGTATTTCAAGATATGTTGGGTTTGCAAAGGATCCATTTTAATATACTGTTTGTTCATTTAGCCCTGATTATTTGTTTTTCCTTACTGGAATAAAAGGTTCACGGTTTGAAAAGTATCCGAGGCATTGTTTAGATAAAAACCAAGGCTAAACTGTATGTAACATATTTAGGAAGATCTCATTTCTCTAACATGCTTTTCACGAGAGTGGTTTGTTCCTACTTGCAGGGAATTTTAAGGTATGGTGTGTC